TTCACATATTTTAATCCCACCACTGTCCATAACATACCTCTTCCGCAGGAGTGAGTGGGGTGGGCCAGTCCCATTGGGTGAGAGTGTTCCTCAGATAGACTGGACCCATGCCATAAAAGGCTTTGAAGATGGCAACCAACATGTTGAATTGGACCCAGAAGCAAACCTGCAACCAGTGCAGTTCCCACAGCACTGGTGTTACCTGGGCCACCCTGGGGGCGCCTAAAGCTGTCTGTGCTGCTGCATTCTGCATCCCATATAGAGCGCATTGCAATAGTCCAAACGTGAGATGATCAGGGCATTCTACCTTTTACCAAAACTGCATCCAGTTCCAGAACCCATAATTCATGCTCTTTGGACATTCAATGAGTTGAATACTCTGTCTCATCTCAGAAAAAAAGAAAAAAAAATCACCATCTTTGTTTCCCTTCTGTCAGCTCTGCATCCAGCTTGGCTGGAAAGCCAAATATGGCTGCTTTGATGTGCTTCCACTGGTCCTGCAAGCCAATGGTCAAGACCCAGAATTATTTGAATTGCCGCCAGAGCTCATCCTGGAGGTGTCGATGGAGCATCCCACGTAAGCATCTTGGCTTCAGATGACAGAAGCCCAGGCTTGTTTGTGATGGGTCAGGTGGGTGACTATCAAAGCAAGATTGTTTGCTGAGACCTCGGGACAGGTTGGCTCGGCTTTTATTTGGTTAAATGATGTCGAGCGTGCCCTTGGAGATAACAGGCAAGCAAAACTGAGCTGAAAGTAATGAATCAGCAAGAATGTTTAGTCCTGAAGCTTTGCAGTTTTTCTCATCTCGGATTTAATCAAAATGAGTTCTTTCTCTCTCTTAGTGATATAATCAGGGAAAACTTTCACCAGATGCTAAGGCCACTGTTACGAAACAGAGTCCAAACATAGATAGCAGGGCCATTATAGTCCAAATTTCCAGTTATTTGTGTTTTTCCCCTTCCAACAGAGTAACTTAACGAGAAGCGGCTGTTGAGGAACTGAGATGCAGTGTGAATTTACAATGAAAGAACCAATAGGTTATCCCAGGGGTAGGCAACCTTGGCTCTTTTATGACTCGTGGACTTCAACTCCCAGAATTCCTGAGCCAGCCATGCTGAGGAGAAAGGGAGAGGTTTCCATGCTGAGCCATGCCGGCTCAGGAATTCTGGGAGTTGAAGTCCACAAGTCATAAAAGAGCCAAGGTTGCCTACCCCTGGGTTATCCAGTCAAAAAAACCAAAAAACGGGGATAGCTTGTTAATACAACTCTCTGTGATTCTTTCTGCAGATATGAATGGTTTAAAGACTTGGACTTGAAGTGGTATGCGGTCCCAGCTGTGTCTAATATGCTCCTTGAAATTGGTGGGTTGGAATTTACAGCTTGTCCTTTCAACGGCTGGTACATGGGGACTGAGATTGGGGTACGGGACTTCTGCGACGCCCGGCGCTACAATATTCTTCAGGTAACCCTTCTGAAGGCTGGGCGGGTGGTGAAGCTGTGTTTTAGGTGGCCAGAGGCATCTGCAGAGCGGCGGGTGCAGAGAATGAAAGCTGTATCATGCCATTTCAGTGAAGCTAGAATAAGACACATTGTCTGTTCCCCGTTTTGTCTGCTTGATCCAGGAAGTGGGGAGAAGGATGGGCTTGGAAACAAATAAACTCTCTTCGCTGTGGAAAGACAAAGCCGTCGTAGAGGTTAACGTTGCCGTGCTCCATAGTTTTCAGGTGAGTGGGAAAAGAGGAGGCAAAAAGTCACTCTTCTCTATTTCTAGCCTCTTCCTTTGCGGTGAGATGGTCTGAAGTTGAGAACTGATGGTGTTTTTTTACCTTCAAAGAAGAAAAGGCTTGGTTGGAGATCTTTGCAAGCCACTAACCCAACCATTGATTGGATCAGTTGCTTCTTAGGGTAAATCATTTGCTCATAATCAATAAGGGAAGCTCTGGAAAGCAGAGAAATCACCAAGAAAGTATGTTCTCAGGGTATCCTGCCGAACTGTATTTATTTATTAACCTTTAATTATATGATTATAGTTAACTTTACTTATTATAATTGTTTAGTATTATCTAAAATATGTTTATCCAATATGTATACCCGGACGGTAGCTTGCTTGTTAAAGCATGGGATTATTGTTGGGGGTTTGGAGTCCCCCATTACCCTACCCCGAATTCCTTATTCCTATCCTTTCCCATACCTGTACTGATCCTACTATTACCCTACCTGTATAAAATCAAATAAAATATTTTTTTTAAAAAAGAAAAGAAAAGGCAGAGAAGGGTTGTTGATGTCCTTCAAAAAATAGTCATCAGTGGCAGCCATACCATTCGGCTGTCACACTAGATTTATTTATTTCTCAATCAATCAATCATATCAAATTATGGAGATGTGATTCGGGGCAGCAAACGTAAGATCAAAAACCAAGAGAACAAAATAAAACAGTAAGAACACAAGTGCGCAGTCTAACTAACCCAATCTATATATGTAAAACAGTGGTGCCAAAAAAATTCCACATTGATGGGCTCACCCACCTCCAGCACCCCGTGCCTGAGGGAACATCCAGGTCTTCAGGGATTAATGTAAAGTCAGTAGTATTTTAAGTGGTCCATGAAAAGATCAAAACTTCAAGAGGCCTCACAGCTCTGGGATCAAAGCCCTGTCCCCTTTTCTTGCACATTGCCACTTTGACTTTTCTGACAACCCCTCCCATGAATGCCCCAGGGAGGCAGTCTGTATTATTTCATTTATTCCTAATTATAGTCAGCCATATTATCTCTGTTGGAAGCCCTTCTTGCTCATTTGAGTAAACACAGGTAATCCTTGACCTTCGAGTGCCGTTGAGCCCAAAATTTCCGTTGTTAAGCAGGACAGTTGTTAAATGATTTTTGCCCCATTTTATGACCTTTCTTGCCACTGTTGTTAGCTGAATTTCTGCAGTTAAATTACTAACATGGTTGCTAAGTGAATCTGGCTTCCCCATTGACTTTGCTTGTCAGAAAGTCGCAAAACATGATCACATGATCCCGGAACATTGCAACCGTCCTAAGTACATGCCAGTTGCCAAGTGTTCGAATTTTGATTACTAACAAAGTGTTGTTAGTGAATCTGGCTTCCTCATTGACCCTGCTTGTTAGAAGGTTGCAAAAGGGGGTCACATGACCCTGGGACACATGACTCTGGAACGCTGCAACTGTCATAAGTACATGCCAGTTGCCAAGTCTCCAAATTTTGATTATGTAACCACGGAGATGCTGCAATGGTTGTGTGAAAAATGGTCATAGGTCACCTTTTTCAGCGCTGTTGTAACTTCAAACAATCACTAAACACATGATTGTAAGTCGAGGACTACCTATAAAGCCATGGACTTGTGCCTGAAAGTTTTAACCAACATGTACACTGGAATTAAGTAAGTTTTGCATTTCTGTGACTCTTCTAGAAGCAAAGCATCACCATCATGGACCACCATTCTGCTGCTGAATCATTCATGAAATATATGCAGAATGAATATCGGATCCGCGGTGGGTGTCCGGCAGATTGGGTTTGGCTGGTTCCTCCCATCTCCGGTAGCATTACGCCTCTCTTCCACCAGGAGATGTTGAATTACATTATTTCACCATTCTATTATTATCAGGTGAGCTAAGCACAGTTCAGTTGATCGCGTGGTTCACATTAGCCTCTTTCAATTCAAAACCAGCAATGTTTTCCACGAAAACATTATTCTGGCTTTTGTAATTATTTTGTTTTTAATTTCTTGATTAGATTTTTTTTTTAAATCCCACCTTCATTACTTTATGTAATTTAAAATGACAAACTTAGCTAACATTCCTTCCTCCTTCTATCTTCCCCACAACAATCCTGTGAGGTAGGTTGGGCTGAAAGAGAGTGACCTGGCTAAGTCAGCCAGCTTACTTGCATGCCTCAGGTGGGATTAGAACTCGCAGTCTCTTGGTGATTGGCTAAAGTTACCCAGCCAGCTTTCATGCCTAGGGTGGAACTGGAACTCACAGTCTCCTGATATCTAGGCCAGAACTTTAACAAACATGAATTGGCTTCCGTTATATTGGAGCTGATATATCAGGGAAATATAGGATGGATGGATGGACGGATGGAGTAATTTCCCCAGTTCCTAAGTATTATTCCCATGTAAATTGAGTTCAGATCTCTGGTTCACCTCTGCCACCAGCTAATTCAAACTTAGTCCTGCCTTCCTTCTTTTATCCTTATCACACATTTTGTCTAGTCCTAAACATAACTTCAGAAGAGGTAGTTTTGGGGAGCAAGAAATAGCTTAGAACATTATTAAAGAAGCAAGTGTTTCTTATCAACACTAAGTATAAATATACTACAATTAGGCTTGGCAATGATTTGTCAAAGGGTAACCTCCTTGAAGTCATCCTTAACTGATAGCAGTGTCCAAGTATCTCTGTGATTCCTGGATTCCTGGATTCCTAAAAGATTTCAGAATGGCCCAGAAGTGGACAAGGATCCTTAGGAAGAGATACAATTCACCAGTGCCCCAAGTTCAATTTAGGAAGTGCAAAAATCCCATTGTTTTCCACAACAAGGGAGAAAAGGGATAGAAGCAGAATGAGGAAAGAGCCAGTGAAGAAAACATTTGCAGGAGAAGTGATAGGTCTGTGGATTCAGTGATAGCTTTATAAGCAAAATTGGGTAACTGGCTTAAATCCTGGTAATCTGACTTTGAAATGTCCAACTTCTCCCTATTCTTCAAGGTGGATGCATGGAAAACACATATCTGGAAAGATGAGAAACACAAGCCAAAGAAAAGAAAAATCAGATTCTGCATATGGGCCAAGTAAGTTTCCAGGACAAGTTTATAATATCTGTCTGACAATCCACTCACGGATCTGGATCAAAGCAAATGTTCCTCTTCGCAGGGCCGTGTTTTTTGCATCCTTGTTGATGCGAAGAGCCATGGCAGTCAGGATCAAAGCAACGGTGCTCTATGCCACAGAAACGGGGAAATCAGAGACTCTAGCTCGAAAGCTGGGTGACATGTTCAATTGTGCCTTCAGTACCAAGGTAAGATGCCTGTGATTGACCGTGAACAATAAATATTGTTTTGCTTGTGAAGAAGAGCAATATTATTACAGATATTTAGAAAATAGTGCAGTGTCCCTGCCTTCCAGTTGTGTAAAGCAGAGACAGGGTTGATAAAATAGGTAAGGTAGCTTTTATGAATAGAATAGAATAGAATAGAATAGAATAGAATAGAATAGAATAGAATAGAATAGAATAGAATAGAATTGGAAGGGACCTTGGAGGTCTTCTAGTCTACCCCCCCCCCTCAAGCAGGAGAACCTATACCATTTCAGAAAAGTGACTGTCCAGTCTGTTCTTAAAAACCTCCAGTGATGGAGCACCCACAATTTCTGAGGGCAAGCTGTTCCCCTGGTTAACTGTCCTCACTGTTAAGAAGTTTCTCCTTAATTCCAGGCTGCTTCTCTTTTTGATCAGCTTCCAACCATTGTTTCTTGTCCTGCCCTCTGGTGCTTTGGAGAATAATATGACTCCCTCTTCTTTGTGGCAGCCTCTCAAATACTGGAATACTGCTATCATGTCAGCCCTGCTTCTTCTTTTCTTTAGGCTAGCCAAACCCAAGTCCTGCAGCCGTTCTTCATATGTTTTAGTCTCCAGCCTTGGATCATCTTAGTTGCTCTTCTCTGAACTTTTTCCAGGGTCTCAACATCTTTTTTGTAGTATGGTGACCAAAATGGGTTGCAATATTCCAGGTGTGGTTTTATAAAGTGGTACTAATACTTTGCGTGATATTGATTCTATGCCTCTGTTTATACAACCGGGATTGTATTAGCTTTTTTGGCGGCTGCTGCACATTGCTGGCTCATAGTCAATTGATCGTCCACTAGGACTCCAAGGTCCCTCTCACAGTTACTGTTTTGAGCCAGGTCTCACCTAATCTGTACTTATACCTTTGGTTTTTCCTGTCTAAATGTAAAACTTTGCTTTTCTCCACATTAAAACTCATTTGTTGGATAGGGCCCTTTGTTTCAGTTTGTCAAGATCTTTTTGAATCCTGAGCTTTAGGGAAGCTTTTAGAGAAGGTTGTCTTCCACAATGTATCATGTCAGTACCGAAGTTTGGCTATGTTCTTAAGTAACCTGTGTCCCCTTGAACCTAAATTGAAAACTGTTTCATATTAGAGCTTTGTAGCACTTTAGGTTGGTTTTTTTTTAAAGTGCTCCAAAGAACACATGGACATTCATTCTTGAATAGCTCAACTTCTGCTTGAAACTATGAAATACCATTATCAATAAAAATAGAAGGATACATCAATTCCCACAATTGATGAAAGGCTGCAAAAGTTCATAGAGTTTGCAGAGATGGCTAAATTGACTGCTTTGATTAAAGAAAAGAACGCAGTTAATTTGATTTCTACTTGGAAACCACTTTTGGACTTTGTGCTTGAGGTGGGAAAAAAAAGAAACTTTGATTTTGGGTTTTGCTGATTAAATAGGTTTGTTGTTATAGAAATGGCTAGTAAATACTATTATATAACAAATGTTTTTTATTATTACCGTATTCTATTGCACTAAAAGGGATTGAAAGTCAATGCTTTTCTTTTTCTTTTCCCCTCTCCCCTACCCTTTTTTCCCTTCCCCTTTCCACCCTTATTTTCCCATTTTCATTTTTCTTTATTTTCTTTCTGTATTTTATATTTTGATAAACAAGTAAAATATTGAGAACAGAAATGCCATTACCAATAAGTCTTGACCATTGCCTAGAGCAGCAGTCGCCAAGCTTTTGGGCAACAGGGACCAGTTTCGTGGAAGGCAATTTTTCCATGCATTGGGGAAGGAGGAGGAGCATGCAAACTAGATCCCTCGCATGCTCAGTTTACAGTAGGGTTCATGCTCCTATGACAGTGGTGGCGAACCTATGGCATGCATGCCACAGGCTGCACTCAGAGCCCTCTCTGTGGGCACGCGCACCGTCGCCCCAGTCCTAGGCCTTCAGCTGGGTTTTATAAAACCTTTTCGCTTTAGTTCAATCAGTCAATTTCAACTTCTCGTGGGGAAAAAAAAGATCTTGCAAAGTTGGAATTGATTGATTGAACTTTTTAGTCCCACCCAGTCTACCGTTACCACCACAGCTACGCTCACCCAATGGGCCACACCCACCCAATGGGCCACACCCACCCAGCACTCGACAGTGCATAAGTGGGTTTTGGGTTGCAGTTTGGGCACTCAGTCTCTAAAAGGTTCGCCATCACTGTCCTATGAGAACCTAATGCCTGATGATCTGAGGTGGAGCTGAGGGGGTGATGCTAGCGCTGGGGAGTGGCTGCAAATGCAGATGCAGTTTGCTCGCTCACCCGCTGCTCACCTCCAGTTGTGAGCCCCGGTTCCTAACAAGCCACGGACCAGTACCGATCCTTGGCTCAAGGTTTGAGGATCCCTGGTCTAGAGCAGGGGTCCCAATCCCCATCCGTGGACCAGTAACAGGCCGTGGCATGTCAGCAACCGGTCTACACAAACAAGCAAAGCCCCGTCCATGGGATGCAGGCAGCACACAAAACCACACACTCTCCGGTCTGCAGAAAAACCTTTCTCCACAGAACCGGTCTCTGGTGCCCAAAAGGTTGGGGACCTCTGGTCTAGAAGACCTTATGGTCTGACTATATGTTTCCCACTTCTGAAAAAAGATGGACAATGAATATTGTTTTTTGCCTCAAAATGTTTTATCCACTTACATCTACCTTCTTACAGTTCCTGATAACATTTCTTTCTCCTTTTAGGTTACCTGTATGGGTGATTACAACCTAAGAGACCTTGAGAAGGAAACTCTTCTTCTGGTGGTCACCAGCACTTTTGGAAATGGCGATGCCCCAAGCAATGGCAAAGTAATATTTTTAATTCATGCTATATATACAGATTTTCCATAATCAGTCAGACTGTTCGTGCCATATAACGGTCTTTCTTTTTTTATTATAGACTCTGCAGAATGCCCTCTTGTCTATGAAACAACTGAGTAACAAATTCCGGTAATTACTTCCAGAATTTTGATTATCCCAGTTAACCGATTCCTATTCTTTATTGAATCTTTTAAATGCCCTTCTTTTAAGATGGACTGCTATTTCATCTAATATAATTTAAACCAGCTTGCCCCAGTTTGGAATTCTCTGTATTGATTATAACTTCAGTGGTTTCAGTGGGAATCAACAGCTCATAATTTGATGGCAATGGAACTACTTCTGAAAACCATCTGCTAGGATATCCATGGACTTCCTCATACAGTTGGTTGCTCACTATGAAAAGAGACTGCTGAATTAGATGGGCCAGGGATCCAATCCAGCAGTGCGCTGAATATGTACCTATGTTTTATCACACCCCCCCCCGCAAATGGAAAATGATGGTTGAGTCCAAAATGGATAGATGACACAAATTGGGGGAGCAGACCTACAGCAAAAGTTTATTCTCTGTTTTAAACAGGAATATGTCCTCTCTCTATCTGGAAGTATAGGAAATTAAACCTTCTCTTCCCAAAGCTCATATCTAACTTTTGAGCTAATGTTCCCATCACCTCTGCCTTCGTATCATCTATTTGAAAGTGACTCCCCATCTTTCTTAAGGATGTTTCAGATGGTGGTTAAAAAAGGGTTATAAAAGATAGACTAGAGGTAGAACTGGTTCTGGTTTTTAATTGATGTGCTAGCTATTAGGTGACTGTATGATCCTATTTTTTACAGTATTTTTTATTATTGGAATTTTATTGGTATGTTTTTATTGGTATGTTCATCACAACCTCTGGTGAAGTGGGCGGCATACTAGTAGAGTAATACAAATGACTTTATTTCTTTATTTGCGCATTTATTTATCTTGATCAGCAGGCCCCCAGCTGATATGAAACCTGTTAAGTATAATAGATAAAAATGTTGGTTGGCTATAAAAGTATTCTCAGTTCTATCAAGCTGCAGGCTTGTGAACTTTTCAATAGATTGTTAGCAGAGGTACTTCAACAGGGACAATCTCAGAAGGAAAAATGCCTGTGTTAAAATGAGATCTCTTCCAACACACATATTTGTCCATGGTTGTATATATATATATAAAAAACCAGCATTAATGCAGCTTTTCTCTTGAAACAGGTATGCAGTTTTTGGCTTGGGTTCAAGCATGTATCCAGAATTCTGTGCCTTTGCCCGTCTTGTGCACCAAAAACTTGCACAGTTGGGGGCATTTCCAATCAGCCCAATGGGTGAAGGAGATGAACTCAATGGGCAAGAAGAAGCTTTTCGGAACTGGGCCATTCTTACATTTCAGGTAACCATAATAATCTTGATGCACAGTGAGTCTTGGAGTTTGCAATGTCTCTGCAGGGGATAGCAGAATCCAGTGTCTTTCAAACTTGGCAACTTTCAGATGTGTGGACTGCAACTCCCAGAATTTCACAGACAGGACGAGGAATTCTGGGAGTTGAAATTCACACATCTAAAAGTTGCCAAATTTGAAAAAACACTGCTTTAGCTTAATTTCCTGGGAGAAAAGAGAGGTTTAAGGTTTGGCCCAGCCCCAAAACATTATTTATCCCAGAAACGAAGAATCTAAATGAGATGAACATAGAACAGGAAAAATGAATGTATTTGACTTCTATAGGAAGGTAGCCTTAGAATACAGATAGTTCTCATTTAGCAACCACAATTGGGACTGGCAATTCCAGTCAAGCAAAGAGTTTACTAAATAAACTCACAACTGGACTTAGGGTCTTCTTCAGCTTTCACTGACTTTACAAGCTGTGAAGGTTGTAAATGCAAGGATCAGTCTTAAAATTGCTTTTTATCACCTTCCTAAATAAGGCAGTCATTTAACAAAAACTACTTGTATATTGCTATACAAGTATATTGCTGTTTTACTTCCTGTTTCTTCTTGCAGAAACCTGTGTAGAGTCTGTGTTGACACCACACTGCCGATTAGCCATGCTATTGAATTAACAGGCAGCATTCTCGGTCTTTCTCCTCTCATTCCCAATGGTGTCCCTAGTTATCCATTAAATTGTTCTAAGAAACAATGGGGCTAATCTTCTAATCCAGCTTTGCTTCCTAAAGAAGCAAATCATGTCACTTCCATGCATAATGGATGGTAATTACATTGAAAACTCTCACTTTCCTTCTCCATGCACACATTAGTGAAGGCCTCCCGAGAAGTGTGAAAGCTGTATTGTTTGTGTGATCCTTGCAGTTGCTGTGCTGTGAATTGAAAATGTGTTTTTAAGCAAGCCACTTGACTGAAATTAATTTCATTTACTTTCAACCCCTAACTGGAAGGTTCAAGATGACTAACCCAAAGGCCCAAGACGATTACATAGAGTCCTCGATAACTTTCATCTATTCTTTTTATATATATTTGAAAAGACGGCCTGTGAAACTTTTGATATCCGCGGAAAGCACAGGATCCTGTTACCAAAAGAATATACATGTAAAGAAACCTGGAACCCCAAGAATTTTAGGATTGTATATGACTCTCAGCCGTTGGCTTTAGAGAAAGGTATGTTTTCCTCTGATCCCTTAAATGCCTTTATTTTTAACTGAATGATATTATCATCACTTTGATTCTTTTTAATCAGTATTTTTCAATCCTGGTGACTCTAAGATACATGGACTTTATGCTGGCTGTGGAATTCTGGCTGTTGAATTCCACACTTCTTAAAGTTGCCAAGGTTGGAAAACAGGGTTTAATTCATGAAATATATCCTAGTAGATATTAGGGAAATATTTTAAAATCAAAAGGGATGTGTTCTGAACTTGAACAAAATATCATATTTTTAGGGTTTTGTTCCAAATTCAAGACAAAATTTGTCTTGAGTTATTCTACCCTAGGGAACAATGGCAACTTGAAACAAAGCAAAGATGGAATAAAAATTAATGCTGACTCCTGTCTACAGCACAACTTACATAAAAGTGGACAAGGGCAAGATTTAAAATAAATATCTATATTTTTAATTTTTTAAAAAATCATACATATTTTTATATTATTTTACATTATTTTATTTGTACATTAGCAAATGGATAGCTGTGTAGCTACTCGCATTTCTGTTCTAACGAATAAAAAGGGGAAAAAAACCAAGCAGTTGTTTCAGATTCTCATTGTTCCATACACACTATGCTGAATTTGTTCCATCATTAAAAGGTGCCAATTGTATGTTTCCAATTTTATGTTTTATTCTAAGCTCATAACAAAGTATATTCCCCATTTTGTGCCCGTCCATTGGGTGACAATATAATTTCAATTATACCCTTGAAATCATAACTGCCTAATCACATTTTCCAGTTCTGTTCTCTATCTTATGGCAGATGAATTATAGATAAATCGTTAATAAACTAAAATTGACATTTGCTTCTCTTCAATTAGTCCACTTGTATGTGTTAACAACCACACAACAACCACAAAATACAGATTTTGGTTGTGCAGAGATCCACTTCAAAAGGCAGTCAGGTAGTCCTTGAATTACAACCTGTTACTTAATAGTTGTTTAAAGACTTGAAAAAAGTAGGTTATGACCTGTTCTCAAAATTACGACTACCACATTCATACACAATCACACACACACACATGTCCTAGAGCCATATTATGGCATTTGGGGCACTGGGCAACTAGCTCACATTTATGACTGGTTGCAGCATCACATGGTCATGTGAATGCAATTTGCAATGTTTTTTGCCATTTTCCAGCCAAAAACGTCCATTAGATAAGTTGGATTCAGACTACATGATCTGCTTAACGACTGCAGCGATTGGCTTAACAATAGTTGTAAAAATGGTTGCAAAACCAAGCCCAGTCATTTAATGACTCAACGTATAACTTACAACCAAAATGCCAGGCTCAATTGCAATTGTAACTCAAGGACTACCCATATGTGATAGGAGTGCAACCAGGTATGCAGGTTACTGAGAACACCTCAAAAACAGCTGCATCTTTCCCACAGCTGCTCCAGCATCTTGGGGGAAATTGCACTGGGTTTAAGATGTCTTGGGATGGTTTTGAGGTCTTATCTGGAATGGTCCAAATTTTTTTTAGCTGTGGCAAAAGACAAGTTTGTTTCTGTTTTCTCTGTAGCACTTGGTGATATTCATGGGAAAAATGTAGTTCCACTGATCCTCAAATTTCGGCAGAATCTTCAAAGTTCACAGTCCAGGTATTCTTTCATGCTTCCTGTTTTTTATTTTGAACCCATTAAACATCTAACTGCCCATAAGCATGCGTTCAAATTTGCAGAAAGATGTTATTTTTAACTTTGTGCCATGCAGAGGTTGTATTAGCCATTGTGTACTTAGATATGCATTTTGATCAGAACTGACTAAACTTTTCCATGTGATTATATATACAAGCATATAGTTTATATCAATAAAAGAATTACATTTTACCAATAAATAGTTAAATATAATTGTTCCAAAATAAAATAACGTTGAAAATCACTGATTTTAGCTCAACACAAGGAAGAGAGACACTTCTTTTTAAGGGCCAAAAGCTAAATTCAGTCTTTAAAAGACCTGTCAAGAGTTGTATGTGGCAATAAAGATGGGCTAAGAAGAAGAAGAAAAATCATTTTTAATCTTCCCTTTTCTTGCTGGAAAAGGTATTAACATTTTTCAATCTCTTGGCGTGAGTCAATTACATTTTAAATGTTTAGGAGGTTAAAATCCTTGTCTAAAGAGATGCTCAATCATCCAAGTCATGGTGGTCCCAGTCAGGATCGAACTCTGTGGGCAGAGTTAGCCTGCAATACTGCATTCTGACCACTGCGCCACCAGGACTCCAGGTCATGGTGGTCCCAAAGGTGCTTTTTCAAAAAGGCAACTGAATTTTCTTGGGTTTTTTCCTTTGAAAAACGTTTCATTTTTCATCCAAGAACTGAAAAAGCTTCTTGGATGAGAAGTGAAACATTTTTCAAAGGAAAAAGACAAGAACGTTCAGTTTCCTTTTGGAAAAAGCATCTTTGGGATTTAAAATCCTCGCTGTACATCTCGTTAGTTTATGGGAGCTTATGGCTTATGGCTTCCCTCCACTAAAAATATAAAGACATGTATTAAAGTTCAAAAGTTTTCCCATAAATGGTGTCAAACAACTATAACGCTTCCCGCATGAAGTTTGAGAAGTATCCTGTCTATGGTTTTAATAAGGAAATCCTGTGACGGTTGACCTAAAACGAGTTTGTGTTTCCCTTTCCTTTTTCAGCCGTGTTACCATGCTAATTAAACTTTCCTGTGAAACCAATCAGGAAATCAACTATCTCCCAGGAGACCATCTTGGGATCTTCCCTGAAAACCAAAAAGCTTTGGTTGATGGCATCATATCCCATGTTGCAGATGCTCCTCCATTCAATGAAATCATTAGACTGGAAGCATGCTGTGATCGTAAGTCTGGAGTCCTCTTTCCAACTTTTTTTTGCCATGGGATATGAGTGGATATCTTTATAAATAAAGGTGCGTTTTGGCTCATGAAAGGGACAACGCATATCCAGGTGAATTTGGAGTGAACAAGGAAAGGAAAAGGATACCTCTGCTATCTTAGCATTCAGCTCTTTTCTCTTTGGGCAAGAGTAGGCAGCATTTTAGCCTTTCACCTTCCAAAGGGAACTCATGGTGAAGGGATGGCCTTATCAGAAAGGGTGTGTGTGTGTGTGTGTGTGTGGAATTTGGGGCTTTCTTTGTTCAATTTGGGGTGTGGCATTTTCGCTAGCTATTTTTCCCCTGAGTAAAATAGGCGTGTTAAGTCAATTGAGAGTTTAACGCTCCTGTTTTACTACTTTCACACTCCAAAATGGGAACGCCATTCATTACAAATTGGGCAGAATGACTCAAACCCTCTGGAGATGAGGTATCCCCTGCAGGGATGAGATTGACTTCAATTAACAGTTCAGGTCAACAGGAAAGACTATTTTGGAAGGCAACTGGTCAGATATATTTATTTTAGACTTAGATGAAGTCTCTCTTTCTTCTGTTGACTCTCAGAATATATTCTCACCCATTTCCTCTTTCATTCCAGGTGACTACTGGACTCCTTACAAAAAGTTTCCAGCATGTACACTGGCACAAGCTTTGATGCATTTCCTTGATGTAACCTCTCCTCCTTCCCAGCAGTTGCTAAGATCTTTTTCCCAGCTGGCAAAAGATGAAAATGAGAAGGAAAGGCTGAATCTCTTGTGTCATGTGAGTTTGGGATCAGTTACGGGCAGGGAGAAAAAATAGTACTTGTAGAACATGTCTCTGTTTCACCTGCTAGCACCTGGTCAACCATGGTTGATCTCCAAAAGTTAGGCAAGGTTGGACTCAGTGCTAATACCAGTTTACAATGCCTTGGTAAGACCACACTTGGAATATTGCATCCAGTTTTGGTCACCATGATATAAAAAAGATGTTGAGATTCTAGAAAGAATACAGAGAAGAGTAACAAAGATGAATAGAGAGCTGAAGGTTAAAACATATAAAGAACGGTTGCTGGAATTGGGTATGTCTAGTTTAATGAACAGAAGGACTAGGGGTGACATGATAGCAGTGTTCCACTATCTCGGGCTGCCACAAAGAAGAGGGGGTCAAGCTGTTCTCCAAAGCACCTGAAGGCAGGACAAGAAGCAATGGATGGAAACCAATCAAGGAGAGAACCAACCTAGAACTAAGGAGAAATTTCCTGACAGTGAGAACAATTAATAATCAATAGAACGACTTTCCTCCAAAGTCTGTGGGTGCTCCAACACTGGAGGTTTTTAAAAAAAAGATTGGACGACAATTTGTCTGAAATAGTATAGAATTTTTTGCTTGATCAGGGGTTGGACTAGATAGAAGACCTCCAATGTCCCTTCCAACTCTGTTATTCTGTTAGTGCTTGGGTGGGAGACCATCAGGAGATTGCATGGCTGTGTAGACCATACTGGGAAGCTGAAAAAATTCCAATAGCAGATCACTTTTGTCCTGCTACTAAAAAAGCTACATTGACATGTCTGTATAGTCATGTGGATTCAAGCTCAACTCAAGAGGGGCTTTAATATAGCTACAATAGTGCAACCCCAGTGAACTGATTCGGGATCGGTAACATAATAACTTTGTTTAGGATAGCACATTTTCATCTCTGGCTTTGAGTCAAACTGATGCCTATTGTAGTTATTTCTATGCTCATTTCCAGTTTTATATTTATGTTATCCAATTTTATACGATGCCATTATTTCTACGACAAGCTGCACCTCCATTTCGGAGGAGATATAAATATAAATCGATGCATAAACACCAGGTACCGGAGTGTCTATATGTTTGCTTTTCACTGTAGAATTTGGAGGAATACAACAAGTGGAAATTTTACAACAGCCCTACTATCTTGGAAGTCCTGGAGGAATTCCCATCCATCAGGATCTCAACATCCTTTTTACTCTCTCAGCTGCCTTTACTCAAGCCCAGATATTACTCGATCAGTTCTTCGCAGGATTGGGAGCCTCAGGAATTACATTTGACTGTGGCAGTGGTGACCTATAGATCTAAAAGTAAGTGGGTTTTCTGTTCTGAAACTCCATTGGCCCTGTGTTTGCGCTGATCCTTCATTAAATGTGAGAGCTGCTTTGGTCTAGTGTGGTTAAAGCACCAGGCTAGGAATTAGGAGACCGAGAGTTCTAGTCCCACCTTAGGCATGAAAACTGGCCTGGTGACCTTGGACCAGTCATTTTTTTCTCCACCAAGCCCACCTCACAGAATTGTTATTGTGAAGAAAAATAAGAGGAGGAAGGAGGATTAGCTATGTTCATCATCTCGAGTTATTTAAAAATAATAAAGCAGAATAAAAAAAATTAAAAACGTGCTTTTGAACAGCTCAACAAATATTAGCATCCCAAGGGTATATCCTTTTTCCAGCTGTGCTAGGAATCATCCTTTCTTGGAGGTGGCAAAAAGTTCCTGCAACTTTTTATCAACTCCAAGAAAGAAGAGTAAATACAGGTGGTCCTCAATTTACGACCACAGTTGAGCCCAAAATTTTGGTTGCTATGCGAGACAATTGTTGAATTTTGCCCCATTTTACGACCTTTCTTGCCACAGTTGTTAGGTGAATCACTGCAGCTATTAAGGTGGTAACCTGGTTGTTAAGTGAATCTTCCTCATTGACTTTACTTGTAAGAAGGTCGCAAAAGGTGATCACATGACCCTGGGAGACTGCAACCATGATAAATATGAGTTGCCAAGTATCTAAATTTGGATCACATGACCATGGGGATGCTAAAATGGTTGTGTGAAAAATGGTCACAAGTCACTTTTTTCAGTACCATTGTAACTTTGAATGTGCCCTAAATGAACTGATGTAAGTTGAGGACTACTTGTACCCTGAATTCTTGGGAGTCTTCTCCAAAAGGAAAGTTCAAAAGCATTAATACTCTTCTTATCCTCTGAGTAGGGCCTGCTAAAATCACCATACAGCAAAGTCTGTCTACTCTCCTATAACCTTTCTTGCAATTTCAGTTCAACCTTCTCAAAATACTTCACAAAAACATCATATGTGTGGTCTTTTTTCTCCCCCTTTCTTCTCAGATGGAAAAGGTCCAGTGCACCATGGGGTTTGCAGTACTTGGCTGAACACGATGGACCTGAAAAAGACAATCCCCTGTTTTATTCGCAGGTAAAGTTGCAGATGAAAAGTAGCTGGTAATAAAAACTTCTGTTAGGGGTGTAAAGCATATGGACTAATTTCTGAAAAGCCTATGAATTAATTTCTGTAAAGCATATGGACTAATTTCTGTGCTGTTCAAAGACCTGTAAATAGAAATTAAGATAAGGGGATGGGCTGCATCTTAGCCTTTTCTCTAAGTAAGAAGGAAAAGAAAGATAAAAGCAGACCAACGAGGCCTAAACATTTCCAGATGGCATAGGTAGTATCTATTTCAATGTACAGGTAATCTTCACTTATCAACTGCCTCATTTAGCACCCATTTGAAGTTGTAAAAAAATGAAGGTGTAAAAGAACAGCGTTATCACCTCCTCACATTTACAACTGTCACATTGTACCATGGTCACATAACAATAACAATAACAATAATAATAATGAAGTTGGAAGAGACCTTGGAGGTCATCTAGTCCAACCCCTTGCTCAGGCAGGAAACCTTATACCATTTCAGACAATTGGCTGTCCAGTCTCTTCTTTAAAACTTCCAGTGTTGGAGCATTCACCGCTTCTGGAGGCAGGTTGTTCCACTGGTTAATTGTTCTAACTGTCAGGAAGTTTCTCCTTAGTTCTAGGTTGCTTCTCTCCTTGATTAGTTTCCACCCGTTGCTTCTCGTCCTGCCTTCAGGTGCTTTGGAAAATAGCTTGACTCCCTCTTCTTTGGGGCAGCCCCTGAGATATTGGAACACTGCTATCATGTCACCGCTCCTCCTTCTCTTCATTAGACCAGACATACCCAATTCCAGCAACCGTTCCTTATATGCTTTAGCCTCCAGTCCCCTAATCATCTTTGTTGCTCTTCTCTGTCCTCTTTCTAGAGTCTCAACATCTTTTTTACATCGTGGTGACCAAAACATGATTGCATTTGCATGCTTCCTAAGTTGCTTGTGACATACAGAATTCATGGGGAACACAAAAGTAACATTGCAAATCAATCACATGATGTTTTGCAAAGAGGAAGTGTCATAAGTCCACGGTGGTCATGTAATTTTCTGCTTAGCGACCACAATGTTTAGCAATGGGATTGCCAGTCCCAGTTGTGATCACTAAGTGACAACTACTTCGATCTGTTTGAAAGCTAAAGAGATTAAGATACACGATGTGTTGCAAAATCATCTGAGAAGAGATATTTGCACTTCATGCTTCTCTGGGAGTAAGATATTTATTTGTCTTGTCTAGTGCTGATGGATTTCGACTTCCAAAGGATCCAAGGAAACCCTGTATCCTGATTGGTCCCGGCACAGGAATTGCTCCTTTTAGAAGCTTCTGGCAACAACGACTTTTTGACTTAGAAAATAAAGGTGAGGGCTTTGCTACTTTCTGAGCGATCTGGTTGGACAAATCCACAGGTAACTGAAATGGGCAGTGATTAGGGGTTGGCATTATATACAGTACCACTTTATAGTGCTTTACAGCCCTCTCTGAGCGGTTTACAGAGTCATCATATTGCCCCCAACAATCTGGGTCCTCATTTTTACCAACCTTGGAAGGATAGCAGGCCGAGTCAACCTTGAGCTGGTCAAGATCGAACTCCTAGCAGTGAGCAGTGACTTAGCCTACAATACTGCATTCTAACCACTGTGCCACCATGGCTCTAATTAGAAATTAGACTTTCTAATTTCTTATGTTTGGGTCATGGCATACAAGCCTTACACTTTTGGAACACCTGCTTAATTCTGTGAAGTAGATCTCGAAAAGAGAACACATTAAGCTAGGCCAGGGGTAGGCAACCTTGGCTCTTTTATGACTCATGGACTTCAACTCCCAGAATTCCTGAGCCAGCCAAGCTGGCTCTTGAATTCTGGGAGTTGAGGTCCACGAGTCATACAAGAGCCAAGCTTGCCTACCCCTGAGCTAGGCCTAAAGGTAAATCCCAAGTTAGTCTGAGGCAGGTTTTATGCTTCCTTCATGAGACTCATGTTCATGTGTCCCATGCAGAGCTGCAGTTAAATCATTAAATTGTGGTTTTGCAACATGGCTTTGCGCCTCTTAGATGACACTGTGAGTTATTTCTCTTCTTTCAAAATGTGATCACGTTGCTGCATTTAGGGTCCCCCCTCCCCGTTCATTCTGCTGATTGGGACACAAACACTGCCTTGAGCTGCATAAGGAGCCTAGTCGATTTTGGTCTTCTGGTTTATAGGGATCCAAGGGAGGGGTCTGATCCTGCTGTTCGGCTGCCGACACTCCAACCTGGACCACCTCTATCGAGAAGAAATGGCGGAGATGCATCAGAAAGGGATTCTCCAAGCGGTCTACACAGCTTACTCCAGGGAGCCTGGGAGTCCCAAAGTAAGTCTCAGTTGCCTCTTGCCTTGGATACTTTGCTCAGAGCAGAGCAATAAATTGTATCCAGGAAGTCCTGGGTTCAGTCTCTGCTCTCACCGATTAAAAAGAGGGGGAGCACAAAGATAGTAAGGAAGCAGGGTGGCCAAAAGCAGCACAGTGCAGGTGGTCCTCAATTTACAACAGTTCCTTTAGTGACCGTTCAAAGTTACAAGGGCACTGAAAAAAAAATGACTGATGGCCATTTTTCACACTTACGACCGTTACAGCCTCCCCATGGTCACGTGATCAAAACTCGGATGCTTGTCAACCGACTCGTATTTATGACGGTTGCAGTGTCACCTTGGGGACCTTCTAACAAGCATAGATCAACTTGTTAACAACTGTGTTACTAACTTAGCCACTGCAGTGATTCACTTAACAACTGTGGCAAGAAAGATCGTAAAACAGGACAAAACTCACCTAACAAATGTGTCGGTTAGCAACAGAAATGTTGGGCTCAATTGTCGTAAGTTGAGGACTACTTGTACATAATCTCTAACTACCTAAGTAACCTCATCAATGCAAGTGTGTATGGCAGAAACCCCACACTTGCTTGCAGTGATGAACGTACCCAGTTGGGTCAGGAAAATTCTGCAAGCAAACAACCAACTTCCAAGAGGACCAAGAAGTTCACAGTTCAACTCTGAGCTACAGAAAGTCTCTTCTAATAGTATATACATTATGGGTGCCATACTCTAAAATACTAGGATTCACTAGTTATTTGTCCCAGCTGTGGCATAGATTGTCTAACTGTTTCGGTGATAGATACCCTAGTGCCTTCAAAATGTTTTGAAGTATACTTCAACTTTCCCCTTCCCTTCTCTTCTTCCTTACTTTTGGAGTGTAAGTTTATTAGTCTTTTTTTTAAAAAAGAATTATTTGCTTGTAATTCGCTCTGCTCTAAAAAGCTTTGTAGCCAAAGCACTCCAATTCCATGCTTCCAACAGATAAATGAATCTCATAATCCTGGCCACCAGCCTTGCTGGGGAGGGCTAATGGGAACTGTAAGCCAGAAACCTCTGGCAAGCAGTAGACTAATGATCCAGCTTATTAAGTGATTAAATACTGCAGCTCTCTTAGAAAAA